CGTCTCGGCTCCTTCCTTCTTCCCTAGCTGTGCCTTTCGCCTTTTCTGTGCCTTGTCTCCCTTTCTCTCATTTCCTGCTTTCCTTCACTGTGGCACTGCACCCCCAATGCCAACCCAAGTCCCCTACTGCCAACACCCGACGCCTCAGCCGAAGATCTCTCTGCATGCGGGGGCAGGGGAAGGTACGGGAAGGAAGGGGACACAGATGGGGCTGACCGCTGGGTGGGGGCCCACACCTACAATCCCCGCAACCAGCCACCAAGGCCAGCCCAGGTCAGGGGCGGAGCCCAGGCGCAGCCCCGCCCCCGCGTTGCGCTCACGTGACCCTGGGCTAATCTTGTCCTGGTGACTTCACGCACCGCCTCGGGCCCAGTCGTCATGGTTACGCCGCAGCGCCCAGCGCTTCTCCTAGCTGGCCGTGTCCCCTCCCCTTCCCCACCCGGACCACCCCCTTCCGTCGCCCGGCTCTCGCCCCAGCCACGCGGCACGTGACGGCCGGGAAGGAGGTCGGAATGGGGGAGGGGGCGCTGTGGCCATAACTCCTTCCGCTCCACTTTGAGCGGCTCTGACTTCGACCTTCCACTGCCGGTGGGCAAGCGGTCCAGGAGGCGACCCCAGCTCCTCCCAGAGCGCTCCACTACTGCCAGCCCTCCCTCCTGGCCTGCCAGGCGAGAGCGTCCCGGAGTCATGGGCCTTGGTTCTGGGTGGTCCGGAAGCGAAGCCCCGGCCTGCGGCAGAGTGGGAGGTGGTGGTGGGGGGGGGGCGGGGGCAGGCAAACTCCCTTGGGTCCTCCAGACGAAATTCTCCCATGTGTTGGCACTTTACTTGGTCTGTGTTTGCCTATAATTTGCATTGCAGTGTACACCTTACCTCGTGAAGTCAAAAATACCGCGTGGAATATGTTGGGGATTTGGAAGCTGAACTTCACTGTGATGTGTGCTTTCTGGGTCTAAGTTCTCTCAAGAATATAATGGGACCAGTAGTACTTCCTTCACCTGGTTCTTCTGAGGATTCAGAGAGCTAATGTGTGTGCGCGCGTACAGAGTGTTTGGTGCTTAAGGCAATCCTCCGGGTGGGTAGAGCCCTGGTTCCACCTTACCGAGCACCTTCTGCACGCCAGGTGCTGTTGCAAGCCATGGTTCCCTTGTGATGCAAAGCCTCTAAGGGCTGCACAGGCTCCAGTATAATGGGAGCCATGATGGAGAAAGCATAGCCGGGCTGTGCCAGCCTAGAAGGCGCATTAACCTAGAGCGGATCAGGAAAGAAGGACGTGCAGGATAAAGTGAGGCTGGGGGTGAAGCTTGAGCCTTTTTTTTTTTTTTTTTAGACACAGTCTTGCTGTCACCCAGGCTAAAATGCACTGCACAATCTTGGCTCACAACCTCCACCTCCCGGGCTCAAGCGATTCTCCCATCTTGGCCTCCCAAGTAGCTGGGACCATAGGTATGCACCACCACACCCAGCTAATTTTTTGTATTTTTAGCGGAGGCAGGCTCTCCCCACGTTGCCCAGGCTGGTCTCAAACTCTCGAGCTCAAACGATACGCCCACCTCGGCCTCCCAAGGTGCTGGGATTACAGACATGAGCCACCGCGCGCGCCCCGCCGAGCTTGAGCTTTTTTTTTTTTTTTTTTTTGAGACAGAGTTTCGCTCTTGTTACCCAAACTGGAGTGCAATGGCACGATCTCGGCTCACTGCAACCTCCGCCTTCTGGGTTCAAGCAATTCTCCTGCCTCAGCCTCCCGAGTAGCTGGGACTACAGGTGCATACCACCATGCCCAGCTAATTTTTGTATTTTTAGTAGAGACGGGGTTTCACCATGTTGACCAGGATGGTCTCGATCTCTTGACCTCGTGATCCACCCGCCTCGGCCTCCCAAAGTGCTGGGATTATAGGCGTGAGCCACCACGCCCGGCCTGAGCTTCTTAATAGCTATGGCACTGTGGGCAGGTTAATACCTCTATGCCTTAGTCTGTAAAACGAGCTAATAATGCCCACCTTACTTTAGAGGATTAAATACGCAAAGTACTAATGTACCTATAACAGAAGCTAACATATTTAATAAACCTTTGTCTTTTTGAGACGGAGTCTTGATCTGTCGCCCAGGCTAGAGTGCAGTGGAAGCTCACTGAAACTTCCACCTCCCGGGTTCGAGTGATTCTTCTGGTGCTGGTGGGGGCAGTTTTTTGAGACAGGGTCTCACTCTGTCACCCAGGCGGCAGTGCAGTGGTGCAGTCACTACTCACTGCAGCTTCAGCCTCCCATGCTCAAGCTATCCTCCCACCTCAGCCTCCTGAGTAGCTGGGACTAAAGGCCCACATCACCACAATTGGCTAATTTGTATTTTTTTGTAGAGATGGGTTTTCCCCACGTTGCCCAGGCTGGTCTGGAACTTCCAGGCTTCAGTGCCTTGGCCCCCAAAGTGCTAGGATTAAAGGTGTGAGCCACCATGCCTGGCCCTTTTTTTTTTTTTTTTTTTGAGACGGAGTTTCGCTCTTGTTACCCAGGCTGGAGTGCAATGGCACGATCTCGGCTCACCGCAACCTCCGCCTCCCGGGTTCAAGCAATTCTCCTGCCTCAGCTTCCCGAGTAGCTGAGACTATAGGCATGCACCACCATGCCCAGCTAATTTCTTTGTATTTTTAGTAGAGACAGGGTTTCACCATGTTGACCAGGATGATCTCCATCTCTTGACCTTGTGATCCACCCACCTCGGCCTCCCAAAGTGCTGGGATTTTATAGGCATAAGCTACTGCACCCGGCCTGTTGTTTTTTTAATTGAGACGAGTCTTGCTCTGTCACCCAGGCTAGACTGCAATACACGATCTCGGCTCTGCAACCTCTGCCTCCCAGATTCAAGCGATTCTCATGCCTCAGTCTCCTGAGTAGCTGGGACTACAGGTTCATGCCACCATGCCAGGCTAATTTTTTTTTTTTTTTGTAGAGATGGGGTTTCACCATGTTGGCCAGTCTGGTCTCAAACTCTTGACCTCAAGTTATCCCCTCACCTCAGCCTTCCAAAGTGTTGGGATTACAGGTGTGAGCCACCGCACCCAGCCACCAATCTGTTTTAGAAAGATCCTTCTGAAGGTGCTGGGTGGAGAATTGGGGGTAAGGAGGGCACTTGGAGACAATCTTCCTGGGCCAGGTGAGGACAGCTAATGAGGCTTGAACTAAGGCAGTAACACTGGGACTAAAGAATAGCATGCATTGGGTCAGAGCTTTACAAATGTGCCAGCTGTAAGAATCACCTAGGGTGCTTATTAAATATGCAGATTCCAGGCCTACTGCCCTCACCCCCCAGGAAAAAGTCTTCAAGGGAAAGGCCTGGAAATTAAGCATTATAAGAACTATTAGTTTCCCTAGCCGCCTTGTATGCCTTCTGCATGTGGAGATTCCTGCCACCCCTCCCACATTGTAATTCAGAATGTATGGCAGTTCTTTCCAGACTGCAGGGGCTCATGGAAGGACCCTACTAGCTATGAGGAACAATTAGAAGGATGTTTTTTCTCAGGAATAATCTCAGGATTTGGTAACTGACAAGTGTGGAGTGACTGGGAGACCAGGATGACTCCTGGTGTCAAGTTCTGGACAAGTCTGGTGTAGGATGAAGGGTTTGCTGTGCCCGAGTGACAGCCAGTTTATTCCTTTGTATAGTTGGAAAAACAGGCTCAACTACAGCCTGCCTGAGGTCACAGCCATTAAGTGGCAGAAGCAAGTCCAGAATCCAGGTTTTTTTTTTTTTTTTTAATTATTGTTTTTGAGATGGAGTCTCGCTCTGCTGTCCAGGCTGTAGTGCGGTGGCTCACTGCAACCTCCGCCTCCTGGGCTCAAGCAGTCCTCCCACCTCAACCTCCAGAGAAGCTGGGATGCCACAGTCACACATCATCATGCCTGGCTAACTTTTTTTAACTTTTGGTAGAGACAGGGTTTTGCTGTGTTGCTCAGGCTGGTCTTGAACTCCTGAGCTCAAGTGATCTACCTGCCTCAGCCTCCCAAAGTGCTGAGATTACAGGCATGAGCCAACACACCGTGCCAGATTTGGGTTTTTTAATGGTTGCTTTTTAAATAGCACCCAGCTATGAACTGGGACAAATCTCCATTGCCTGGAAAGCTAGGTCATGGTTTGGGGAACAGGGGATGGGACAATGGGGAAGAGGAAACAAGACCCTGTTTGACCCCTGGGAGAGCCACTGGACTGAAGGGAGGGCTAAGGGGGATGAAGTAGTGGCCTTCTGTGTCTGCATCCCCATTGGCTGTTTCTGCCTTTTTCCCCACCTGTGCCGGGGAGGGGGGAAACACACAGAACTCTGTGGTTACAATCTTCATATACCTTGGAGAGGCCCAGGAATGTGTCTTAGAATGAGGCTCTCACCTGAGTTGAGTGCTCCTGAGAGGGCCTCAGTAGTACCGTGTGTTAGTGCCTGGGTGGGAGGCCTGGTGCATCATCTGTATGTAGGCAGCTCGAATGCTGTCTGAGGGTGCCTGAACAGGTCTACCAGCATCCTATGTGTGCTTCAGTGTGAGGGAGGTCTACTAGGTGTTACCACTGTGTACGTACCTCAGGTTGACCCTGAGGTAATAAAGGTGTAAATGTGAGACCGTCGTATTGTGTGTACCTGAGTCTCAGATGAAAAAAATGTGCTGCAGCAATGAATTAGTCCTCTTACAGGGAGAAGGGGAACTCATCTGTTACCATTATACTTGAATTTGAGACATATTTTACCAGTGTCTACCTGAGAATGATATGCAGGTACAATACCAGAATACCTATTACTTACTTGCCTTACTAACATGCCTGAGAGGAAGCCCAGGTGTATCAGATTTCCTAAGATGGCTCAAGGTGAAACTTGGAGGGGAAAGGGTAACTGAGGGTGAGCCACAAGTGTTACCTCCAGCAGGGCTACTGTGAGCCCAGCACTCCAATCTGTGCCTCTGAGGTAAGCGTCCTGAGCGGGTACACTGGGGCTTTAACAGCTCCTCCTTCCTTCGTTCCCACAGGGCCCTGTGCTCACCATCATACCAGGGGGCAGAGGTGATGGCTTGCCTCCATGAGACCCGAACACCTTCTCCTTCCTTTGGGGGCTTTGTGTCTACCCTAAGCGAGGCATCCATGCGCAAGCTGGACCCAGACACTTCTGACTGCACTCCTGAGAAGGACCTGACACCTACCCAGTGTGTACTTCGAGATGTGGTACCCCTTGGTGGGCAGGGTGGGGGAGGGCCCAGCCCCTCCCCAGGTGGAGAGCCGCCCCCTGAGCCTTTTGCCAACAGTGTCCTGCAGCTACATGAGCAGGATGCAGGGGGCCCAGGGGGAGCAGCTGGGTCACCTGAGAGTCGGGCATCCAGAGTTCGAGCTGACGAGGTACGGCTGCAGTGCCAGAGTGGCAGTGGCTTCCTTGAGGGTCTCTTTGGCTGTCTGCGCCCTGTCTGGACCATGATTGGCAAAGCCTACTCCACTGAGCACAAGCAGCAGCAGGAAGGTAGGTCACATCCTTGTGGGAGCCTCCTATTGCCCTGAGCCCAATATCTGTTGGTTGGTCAGCTCCACTAAAATCACCCAATGGTCCCTTCCCTCCCCATGCCCCAGCCCTAGTACCGTAGTCATCCATCAGCCTCTAGCTTCCCAGCTTTTTTTAAGGCCACCCATTCATTCCTTCCCTGTCCCCTCAAACTACCTTCTCCGCCTATTTTGGCTACCTTTCTGCCTTACCCTCAAGTCAATTCAGCCAACCCAATGCTATCCCCTGTTCCTGGCCTTGATTGTGGCTCTTTCTGAGGCTTGTGGCGCTGTGCCTCCTGCCCACAGACCTTTGGGAGGTCCCCTTTGAGGAAATCCTGGACCTGCAGTGGGTGGGCTCAGGGGCCCAGGGTGCTGTCTTCCTGGGGCGCTTCCACGGGGAGGAGGTGGCTGTGAAGAAGGTGCGAGACCTCAAAGAGACCGACATCAAGCACTTGCGAAAGCTGAAGCACCCCAACATCATCACCTTCAAGTGAGGTCCAAGGCAGGGGCTGGGTGTTCGGGATACTATGCTAAGGCCTGGTACCCTCCTGGGCAGTGGGACCTACCCCATCCTTCCCAGAGGAGACCCTTAGGCGGAATGGGTGGGAATGGGGGTTCCAGGTATCAATCAGTTGGAAGGTTGATCCAGCTGAGGCCTTCATACCATTGTTTGGCTCCCAGGGGTGTGTGTACCCAGGCTCCCTGCTACTGTATCCTCATGGAGTTCTGCGCCCAGGGCCAGCTGTATGAGGTACTGCGGGCTGGCCGCCCTGTTACCCCCTCCTTACTGGTTGACTGGTCCATGGGCATCGCCGGTGGCATGAACTACCTGCACCTGCACAAGATTATCCACAGGGATCTCAAGTCACCCAAGTGAGTAAGCAAGCAGGGAGCAACAGATGGGCATGCAGGTGACCCACTCAAGTCAGTGTGGCCTTCTCCCCGCTTCCAAACCATGTCCTAGGTCCATGTGGCCATCTCAGAAACCTCTTCCAAGTGACAGTCCCACCTCGGGAACGCTGTAGTGAGCCCCTTTGGGTGTCCCAGATGATTTAAAACTGAAAGAGTTCCTGCAGAATTAGATAAAGTATGTGGAGGGGCGTGGATCCCAGCTGACTACACTCTTTACCAGCATGCTAATCACCTACGACGATGTGGTGAAGATCTCAGATTTTGGCACTTCCAAGGAGCTGAGTGACAAGAGCACCAAGATGTCCTTTGCAGGGACAGTAGCCTGGATGGCCCCTGAGGTGATCCGCAATGAGCCTGTGTCTGAGAAGGTCGACATCTGGTGAGGACTAGGCTGAAAACTGAGAAGAGTGGGTAGCCAGCACTGGGGGATGGCTGACAACTTACAGGGCTTAAGCACAAGTGATGAACTGTAGCAACCAGGACCTCTGGAGGAAGCCCTTCCCAAGTGATGTCCCTTCATCCCTAGGTCCTTTGGTGTGGTCCTGTGGGAACTGCTGACTGGTGAGATCCCCTACAAAGATGTAGATTCCTCAGCCATCATCTGGGGTGTGGGAAGCAATAGTCTCCATCTGCCCGTGCCCTCCAGTTGCCCAGATGGTTTCAAGATCCTGCTTCGCCAGTGCTGGTAAGGATGGTCTGGGCTGGGATACTGGGCCTGGAGAAGTTGCGAAGCATAGCAGTACTGATGGACAGCCAGTACCTAGAATCCTAAGCAGCCAAGCACAGAATCTTTAACAGGAAGGTTGTCAAGAGCTCTCAGATATGGCTCCATAAGTACTGAGGACTCAGGATGTGATCCAGGGAACTAGAATCTGGAACTAAGAGGGGTTGGACTCAACAATAAATGGGAGGGGTACATTTAATTCAGATTGACTTTCAACTGAATCAGGCGCATGCTACCTTCTGAGCTGAGTCATCAGGGGCAAGTGGTATCACTCTGAACCTGTTTCCTCATCTATAAAATACAGTTAACAGTATCTGCATTCCTGGGTTGCCATGAAGTGCCAGTGAGTGCATACAAGTACAAGGAAGGAGCAGCATAACCACTAGCATGGTTGGTTGAACCTCAAGTAGACAACCGTAGAACACAGAGGGAAAGGGCCCCAGAACCTCATTTGGAACTTAGACCCAGGGTTTGAAGATTCCTTATCTGTCACTGAGCATTTCCCGAAGTAGTTCCTTCAATGGAGTTACTCAGAAAAGGCTTTTGACAGACAAGTTGGAAAATAACAGGATTCAATAGGTTTCCTTACTACAGGACTTTGACATGCCAATGGATACTGTGTAACATTCCCTAGAGACAGCTGACCATAAGTTCTTTTGTCCCAGAGTACATTCTAAAATTGAATTCTCCAGGACACACTTTGGGAAAGGATGCTTTAATTCCTACATGGTCCTCCCTCAAATTCTCCTCTCTCCTTCTAACTCCATTCCTTTCAGGAACAGCAAACCACGAAATCGCCCCTCATTCCGACAGATCCTGCTACATCTGGACATTGCCTCAGCTGATGTACTCTCCACACCCCAGGAGACTTACTTTAAGTCCCAGGTGTGCTGTGGGTAGGAAAATGAATACCTAACTCCCCTTCTTTGCAGAGATGATGATGCCCTTTGAGAGGGAGGCTGGGAAATGGGTTGAGTGGGATGAAGAGATTGGCTCTTAGAGGGCTGAGTCAATCCACTCCTTTTTGTTCCGGCACACACACTGACAGGTATAGGCAACCTGTAAAGCCTTTCACTGGCTGAAAGGATGGCTCTCACTCTTTATCTGCTCTCCACCCCCAGGCAGAGTGGCGGGAAGAAGTAAAACTGCACTTTGAAAAGATTAAGTCAGAAGGGACCTGTCTGCACCGCCTAGAAGAGGAACTGGTGATGAGGAGGAGGGAGGAGCTCAGGTGAGTTCCTGTGCTTGGGGAGGTGACTTTACCAATAGCTAGGACTATGCCAGTCAGCTCCTACCCAACCCCAGGGCAGGTGGAAGGACTATGGACAGGAATTCTGAGACTGGGATCTATTATGACACTAAGTGAACACAGTTCACCTTGGGGAACCCTTCTGCCCATTGCAGACATGCCCTGGACATCAGGGAGCACTATGAAAGGAAGCTGGAGAGAGCCAACAACCTGTATATGGAACTTAATGCCCTCATGTTGCAGCTGGAACTCAAGGAGAGGGAGCTGCTCAGGTAACCCTACCTGTCCTTATGCACCAATCCCTGGAGCTGTGCCTGCCTTAGAGGTCCTATGGAGACTGGGGTGCCCCTTCCTGGTCATTTGCCCAGCTAAGAAGGTGCCTGGATCTTTAGGCGAGAGCAAGCTTTAGAGCGGAGGTGCCCAGGCCTGCTGAAGCCACACCCTTCCCGGGGCCTCCTGCATGGAAACACAATGGAGAAGCTCATCAAGAAGAGGAATGTGCCACAGAAGCTGTCACCTCATAGCAAAAGGTGGGACACAAACACTGTGGTTCCAGTACGGCAAGAGGGATGCCAAAGTGGCAGCAGTACTTAGCAGGGAGATGTGGGCTTTTCTGAGACAGGGTCTCACTGTCACCCAGGCAGGAGTGCAGTGGCACAATCTCAGCTCACTGCAACCTCCACCTTCCGGATTAAAGCGAAATCTCCCGAATCAGCCTTTCAAGTAGCTAGAACTACAGGCATGTGCCATCACACTCAGCTAATTTTTGTATTTTTAGTAGAGACAGGGTTTCAGTATGTTGGCCAAGCTGGTCTTGAACTCCTGACCTCATGATCCACCCACCTTGGGTTCCCAAAGTGTTGGGATTACAGGCGTGAGCCACTGCACCTGGCTGGAGATGTGTATTTTAGTGTCCAAAGTTAAGGGGTGCTTTGAGTACATAAATTCAGCAGTCTCAACCTTTTATGTCTTCTCTGCTTCCAGACCAGATATTCTCAAGACGGAGTCTTTGCTCCCTAAACTAGATGCAGCCCTAAGTGGGGTTGGGCTTCCTGGGTGTCCTAAGGGCCCCCCCTCACCAGGACGGAGTCGCCGTGGCAAGACCCGTCACCGCAAGGCCAGCGCCAAGGGCAGCTGTGGGGATCTGCCTGGGCTTCGTGCAGCTGTGCCACCCCATGAACCTGGGGGTCCAGCAAGCCCAGGGGGCCTAGGCGGGGGACCCTCAGCCTGGGAGGCCTGCCCCCCTGCCCTCCGTGGGCTTCATCATGACCTCCTGCTCCGCAAAATGTCTTCATCGTCCCCAGACCTGCTGTCAGCAGCACTGGGATCCCGGGGCCGGGGAGCCACAGGGGGAGCTGGGGATCCTGGCTCACCACCTCCAGCCCGGGGTGACACCCCACCAAGTGAGGGCTCAGCCCCTGGCTCTACCAGCCCAGATTCACCCGGGGGAGCCAAAGGGGAGCCACCTCCACCAGTAGGACCTGGTGAAGGTGTGGGGCTTCTGGGAACTGGAAGGGAAGGGACCTCGGGCCGGGGAGGAAGCCGGGCTGGGTCCCAGCACTTGACCCCAGCTGCACTGCTGTACAGGGCTGCCGTCACCCGAAGTCAGGTAAAGTATGGAAAGTCTCCTGAGCTCTTTCCCTTTTTCCTTATTCTCCCTGGGGTCCAAGTCTAAACCCCCAAATTATGCTCAATTGTAAGCCATTCCCTACTTCACCATTTGTAACTAAGTTCCCTTCTGGATTCTTAGTGGCTTCTTTCCATTTCTGACCACAGTCCCCATCTCTCCTGCAGAAACGTGGCATCTCATCAGAAGAGGAGGAGGGAGAGGTGGACAGTGAAGTAGAGCTGACATCAAGCCAGAGGTAAGTGATGAGTACAGGAGGTATGGCATTGTCTCCTGCAAAGGGCAGAACCAAGTTGTAATCCCCTCTCTCCAACATGTAGGTGGCCCCAGAGCCTGAACATGCGCCAGTCACTATCTACCTTCAGCTCAGAGAATCCATCAGATGGGGAGGAAGGCACAGCTAGTGAACCTTCCCCCAGTGGCACACCTGAAGTTGGCAGCACCAACACTGATGAGCGGCCAGATGAGCGGTCTGATGACATGTGCTCCCAAGGCTCAGAAATCCCACTGGACCCACCTCCTTCAGAGGTTATCCCTGACCCTGAACCCAGCTCCCTGCCCATTCCACACCAGGAACTTAGAGGAAAGCAGGTGAGTGGTAGAACACCAACCAGCAGATATTGAACAGGGAGGGCTGTAAGCAGATGCCTTGTCTTAAACAGCTTTTGGGAAGACAGATGCACAGGCTACAAAGTACTGTAAAGAGCAAATATCCATGTGGTGGAATTTCAGAAGCCTCTAGCACAGAGCATCTATTGTGGTGCCTGACCAGTAGCTTATATGTAGCTATAAATTGCAGCCAGGGAAGGATTCTACAGGTAAGAGCCTGACACCTTGGAGAATGGTCTGAGCAACTGCAACCTGGAAGCAATAAAATCAGTAAGCCACTGGCTATTAAAATGATCCTAGCAAAGAACCCTAAGGAATCTCACTGCATTTCTACTCTTCCTTACAGGGCCCTCCCAATTCTGAGGACTCAGACTGTGACAGCACTGAATTGGACAACTCCAACAGCGTTGATGCCTTGCGGCCCCCAGCTTCCCTCCCTCCATGAAAGCCACTCATATTCCGTGTACATAGAGAAATATTTATATAAATGATATATATATATAAATATATATATATGCGCGCCACATAATCAACAGAAACATGGGGCTGTCTCAGCCGTAAGTCGGGCTTGAGGGAGACTGATCCCCTGACAATTCACCTGATAAACTCTAGGGACTTTGGCAGCTGTGGAAATGAATGAGGCATAGCTGTATAGCTGTGCGTAAGGGCAAACTGGCCCCTTCCTGCCCCACTCCATTCCTTACATTCGGCAAGCAACAAGGCAATAGAAAAGCCAGGCTTGTCTTTATATTCTTTATCCCCAAATACTGGGGAGATAGGGGAATGGGGAGGGTGGGAGGGGCAGGAGAGAAAACACTTAGACTGCACTTTTCTGTTTTCCGTTTACTGTTTACACATTTTGCACTTGGGAGGAGGGAGACCAAGGCTGGGTCCTCCCCTCTGAAATTTCTCAGGTGGCAATGTAACTCATTTTTTTTGTCCCTCCATTTATCTTCTCGGTCCAAGCCCTTAGGGCCCAGGGGGAGGTTAGGAGACTGATAGCATGTGATGGCTCAGGCTGAAGAACTGGGGTGCTGTTTAAGTCCCTGCTTTTATCCTGGTGCCTGATTGGGGTGGGGACTGTCATATTGTAACCCCTGTGAAAAATCTTGAAATATAACCACTCCATGCAGGCCCAGCTGTTGAGGGTTTTCTTGATGAATGAATGGGGTACCATACATGGTTAAGATAAAGCCTTGGGCTCAGGACTTTATCTGAGGTGTTTGGACAAGTTCTGCCCCTCCACTTTTATGCATCTGTTCTCATTAAATGAATATAATGTCAAGCCCCAACTTTCTAAAATTATAGCAATAAATGATAGCAGGTACGTCCTTCTAACTTGTTATGGAGGACTATAAATGAAGTTACTAAGAACAATAGAGTGAAATTTTTAGTTTAAAATATGCAAGCCTGAACAAGACGACCAACATTCCCAAGAAACTGGAACCCAGTCAGACACAACCAACTGCTTCCTGTGTATGCCATGTATGTCATGTCATTCCTTTCTACCACCCCCCAGTGGAAGTGCTTGCCTACTCCTAGGACAGGTAAGTCCTAGGAAAGTCTAATCCTCAATCTTTTGGGCACAAGTTTTCTAAGGGCCAACCAAGTACGAGGTAAGATAAAAATCTGATTAAGGTACACAAAAAAAGATGGAAGTGGTAAAAGAGAAGAAAATATCTTAACTGGAATAAAGGCTTCTATTCAAAACTCAAGGAGGGTCCTTTGAGGGATAAAAGGTACAAAAATAACAGCAAGACAAGAGGAATAAAACCCACATGAATCACTGTGGCATCCAGTTTCTATTCACAAAGAAAAAGCTCCAGTCCATCTTTTAATTTTTTTGAAAAATTCCTGACATTACAGAACTAAACTGAAATGTATTAATATTCCACTCTTACATTTCCATGACAAACAGAAAAATTCATTAGCAAAAAAAAAAAAAAAAAAACCAAAAAAAAAAACAAAAACCAGGGAGAAGCTTATAAAACTAAATATGGATCTCAGCATCAACAGCTGAACAGAGAAAGGAATTAAAACGCTTTAATTAAAAAATCACGAGTGGATGATAAAGTGTGTAGAAACTGAAAATTTACAAACTATTTAAAACCTGGAATCGCTGACTGTTCAGAAACTACACAGATGGATCATGGGTGGTGGTGAACAGCAGAAAGGGATTATGGATGAATCTGCATTGTTCTAGCTGCTCCCCATGCCACCCGTCTCCGAGGAAAGCCTGTAACACAGAAACAAGAACTCAGTTAGTTTCCCCAGTGGCCAGCTGCACCTCATCTCTACCTGGTTCATGAAATGTGAAGAGTAAATAATCCGTGCTGGAGTATCAAGGGAGACATTAAGGTTTCTTAAATTTACCAGTACCATAATCCTTTAATCCTTGCAATGCAAGCACGTGGAGGTATATCACTTCAGAACTAAGGGAAACAGAGCCCTTGGTTACGAAATGTTCCTCAAACTATGTTCTCTTTTAGTTCCACAGTGGGCTAACCATGGAGAATACTTTCTGAAAACATGCTGCTCACTGAAGAGTGCTCACAATGCACAGAAGCAATGTTTCTTTATTGCTGAGCTCACTTTGGCTCCTCCCAAACTGCTGACAGAATACCAGTTTAGGAAAGAAACACTAATCTGAGAGAGCCTCAAGGGTTTAATAATGCTGAGACAACTCAAGGCCTTGACTTTAAAGCCCTGGATTTCTATCAGTGTGTAGGATATTATGAGGTACTACAGTTTTAAAGGTTAAGATGTTAAAAAGATAAAAAGATTAACTATGGGTAAAGAATTATACCTATTTATTGGTTTGGGGGGGGGCACGGGACGGAGTCTAGCTCTCTCACCCAGGCTGCAGTGCAGTGGCATGATCTCGGATCACTGCAACTCCCGCCTCCCAGGCTCAAGCAATTCTCCTGCCTCAACCTCCGGATTAGCTGGGATTACAGGTACACACCACCATGCCCGGCTTTTTGTATTTTGGTAGAGACACGGTTTTACCATGTTGGCCAAGCTGTTCTAGAACTCCTGACCTCAGGTGATCCACTTTTGCCTGAGCCTCCCAAAATGCTGAGATTACAGGCATGAACCACTTCACCTGGCCTTAAATTCTGAAAAAAGTTTTCAGGACTTAAAAGTAGCAGACAATATAATGTTTCAACTATGTAGCTCACTGTACAAAGCTCCTAGATCTTGTCAAGCCATCTAAACATACCAGACTACAATGCCTTTCTTTCTGTTTCAAAGAGGTCATCTGAGGTCCTGGAATCCAATTTAGGGCTTTCAGGGAAAGGTATTTAAGTACTCAGTATGCTTCACTGGTAGGTAGGCAGACACCAAGACTTTGCTCTCATTTTGAATAGAAACAAATGTATAAGACTTCTTTTCAGTTCATGAAGTTATTTTATAAAAATTTTAGATTGATTGGCATAAAATATTTGTGATATGTGGTCACGAGGACATGACTGGTAATTCACCATCTGTATCCTTTCCACACAATGCAAAGCCAAAAGCTGGGTAGAAAAGCGAGGGCCAGAAAACTGAAGAGTCCTTCCATTACAAACGGTATTTATTTTTAGTCAGAAATGATTTCTCCACCTCAGCATTAGGGAATATTTAGTTCTTAAAAAGGGGGCAGATTTGTGCCGATTTAAAAAAAAGAAACTGCTAGATACCATTAGATCTAGGACCTAAAAATTTAAGTTAATGAAAATTGGTGGTAGCACTCTGGCCCCACCAGAGTTCTAGAAGAAATGCCCTGAATGTATATCAAGCCCGAATGGGGATTTGCTGGGGTGGGGGAGGTGAGGGAAAAGGAAATACTATGAAATACTGAGTCAGGCACTCTAGAATAGAAAACCACATGGGGGAGCTCTAGGCTTTAAACAAATTTAAAACTGAGGGCCTTTAGAGGTAGTGATGGTAGGATGGTAGCTAGCCCCTTAAACATCTGTAATCTTCCTCAGCAATCCTTCCTGGGGTATAGTCATTAGGTTTAGAGGCCTTCCAAATCAAGAACTAGATAAAATAAAACCAGGTCCCTCAGCAGGGAGATCATATCAGCATGATTATGTCCAAACTACAGAAGGAACAAGCTTCCTAAGGGAGAGAGCTGGACCACATGATAAAGGAGCAACTAAATAAAACTCCTAACTGGACAGGTTTACCTATCTAATCCTTTATGCAGACTTGGGCCATGTAACACTTCTTCACAGGCCCAATCTGGGATGGAGGGGCCACAATAACATCAGAAAATGAGATAATATATTGGAATACTATGGCCAGGCATGGTGGCTCACACGTGTAATCCCACCACTTCAGAAGGCCGAGGTGGGTGGATCACCTGAGGTCAGGAGTTTGAGACCAGCCTGACCAACATGAAGAAACTCCATCTCTAAAAAAAATACATGAAGTATATATATATATATGAATAATAAGTTTTTTTTTTTTTTAATGTCAACCAATGGGGATGCTGGAAAAGGGAAAATAACTCCACAGTGCGTTCTCTAATGCCCTGGGAAGAGCATTATACTTTCAGCACTGTGGCAATGTGTACTTTGGTTGAATGGAAGGCTATCAGAGGCTTTATGCTACTATTCTAAACCACTTCTACTGTTTTATGAGATCCGTGCCCAAAGAAAATGAGTAAGGTTGTAGGGAGGTTAATATGATTGAGTAAAAGTAGAGCTTTAAAAGTTGTTAGTCCTGGCTAGTCACTCATAATCTATGAATTTAAATTATCTTTAGGGTCTCTATTTTTTAATCTGCAAAATGAGGGGATCAATGTATCACAGATTAGTTGTTCCTTAAGGTTTCTTCCAAATGTAAGCATGTCACTTCCTACTTGTGATAGTGTTGGTGGGGAGGAGAAAGGGTACAGCAGGTTATTGAAAAAAGTGCAAAGTAACCTGGTTGACTATCAGAATTGGTTTAGGATGAGTGAATGGCATCATGTCAAATTGTGGATAATGTCACAGGTTGGCTGAGATATACTTAAAGTCACAAAGAGGGATAATGCTAATTCAGAGGAATGCAGAGCAGACAGAAGCTGCCTAATTTTGTTAGACTTAACCCACTTTGCCCCTCCTCTTCATTCTGGGTAAAAAAATATGTTCTTTTAATGTGTAACTTGGAAGTGATCCTCACGGTAACCATTCACCAGAGGAAACCTGGGATGAACACCTTGTTAGCTGCTGCTGGCAAGGTAAGGCCATTTGAGAAGTCAGATAAACTTCCTCACTAATGAAGCTTGTTGCCAATTACAAAGGACCCTCAGGATCTAAACTGCCATAGGATCATATCTCTTTGTGGGAATATATGACAAAGGACTATAAATTTAACCTGGGATTCCAAAAGCCCACGTCACTTATACAGGCTTTCTGGTTGAAGAGCCACAAGTCACAAGCCCCCAACCCTTTACCCTTCACAGCACACAGTGAACTAAGGTTCTTACTGCGCCAACTTTATTACAGCTAGAAACACAAATATGGCCAAGAAAGGCCTGCTGATAGCTTAATCATTAAATAATTCTTTAAAAAAAAAAAAAAGTTAACGGAGAAACTTTTATTCATTAACACAGAGCCTAACACATTGTTATATTGCAAGGCAGAATAAAACTACAAAGAAAAGGTAACAAACAAGAAAGAAGAGTAAACTGTGGCTCTAGATAAAGAATTCAAGTCAGACCCTGAAACAGGCACTCAGCTGAAATGGCCTAAACCTAAACAAGGGTTACCACTCCCCCCACCCCCACCCAGTTATCCCCCAAGGTAGCAAAAAGGAAACTGTAACAAGCTCACAATAGTTTCATTCTCACCAATATTAACAAAGGAAAACAAAATGAACCAAATAATACTGGAGGAGGTGCCTCAAGATATGCAATCAGTAGGGAGAGAATCTCTGTTTCTCGCCTTTCAGTTTGTTAGTTACACATGGCACGGCAGAGGTGGTGGTGGTGGTAGCTGAAGCCCCGGTACCCTTAGCAGCAGACACAACATTTAGAGCCAGGAGAGGGATGGGTTTCATGCCAAGCAGACTGGAGACACAAGGGGCGGTCGGAAGAGGGTTGGGGAGGCTGGAGGGTGCGTCGGAGGTCCCCGCTGTGGCGAGCGAGGGGGTGGTGGTGGAGGAGGAAGAAGAAGAAGGGGTGGAGGGTTGAGAGAGGTTGATGCTGAGGTGATCAGGGATCGTGACGGAGGCTGCCTGGGAGGAGGGTTTAGCGTTTTCTAAACTGTAACAGAGGAAAAAAGGAACAAAAAAAAGGGTGGGTGGAAGGGAAGACCACAAAAGGGAATAAGTACAGGACAAAAACTGCTTCAGTTATATCAGTAAGTGCCTCTGGTTGACAATTAGGAAAACCTAGTATCAACTTGTGACAAGCTCTCTTTTAGCCTGTGTCCCACCCTCTAAATATGTATACTTCCATTCCACCTTCCTTTCCACAGAGCTACTTAAAAACTGCTATGGCGTAGAAAAAGCTGACAGAGAAATCAAATCACAGAGCACATACTTCCATATATCTGACACAATGACCCAACCCAGATATTGAAGGAATGATTTCAGGTAGAAAATGAAAGATACTCATCAATCACCCAACAAAGAAGAAATGTTTCCTCCAATCAAATGTCAATTTCCTATTCTAATGGAAAATCAATTAACCCAAAATTACTTATGAAGCTTTGAGTATTTATAAACACAATTTTTAAAAATCCTCCCAGCTGTAGTATTAAAGTCTGCTTACATTTCCAAAACAAACAAACCAGTATTAGGGTGGAAGGAGACAAGACCAAAGTAGGTCACTAATTTCAAATTTCAAAGAATGCAGCGTTTTCAAAGAAAAATGCTGAGAACAGAAGTGTAGATAAGAACTAGGAAAGCTTTTCTGGTGGGAGGTGGTATAAGTAGTTCTTTATTTCTGACTGAACATACTTCTAATGTGGACCTTTCAGAAGTGGAAAAGACAAACTCAAGCATCACCTAAAAATTCATATTTAAAAAGTGAAAATGCTGCTGCTTCTACTCCTAAAATAACCTCCAGAGAACAGTAAGGATATATATCTCCCAAATGCCTGTATATGTGTCTAAGTCAGAACTACATATATTTGAGAAATTTGCCTGTACAATTGAGCCCACAAACCTAAGTCTTCAAGAGCAGAAAGGCTCCCCTTAAAACCTCATTTTGTTTACCTATGTCCAAGGGCAGCTGCAATCCATAAAGCAGAGGGATACAGAACTCCACTAACTATATAAAAGGACTCAGACTGCCACCACAAAAAAATCTAGACAGGAGAAAATGCTCAGAAGCCAGTAAAATCCTTCTTGCCTTAAAAATAAAAAAAGAGAAAAACAAAAAACAAAAAACCCTTCTGACTTCTGCATTTAAACTGGACCAAGATGAGAAAGAATAAGCTTTGTGCATGCATAGTCCTTGTTTCGGTGTTAGATGAAGCTCTGAAAAAGTACTGACCCTAATCCATGGTTCGGATGATCCTGAACTGCCATTCAATTAAGAATGATCCTGAAAGGTCAGGCACACTGGCTTACGCCTGTAATCCCAGCACTTTGGGAGGCCGAGGAGTATGGATCACGAGGTCAAGAGACCAAGACCATCCTGGTCAACATGGTGAAACCCCATCTCTACTAAAAATACAAAAATTAGCTGGGCACGGTGGCGCGTGCCTATAATCCCAGCTACTCAGGAGGCTTAGGCAGAATTGCTTGAACCCAGGAGGCAGAGGTTGCGGTGAGCCGAGATCATGCCACTGCACTCCAGCCTGGTAACAAGAGTGAAACTCCATCTCAAAAAAAAAAAAAAAAAAATGATCCTGAAAAGAGTGACTCTAACTAGAGAATTCTATTTCCTTACAATGTCGCCACTGACCTATTGCAGGGGCTAGGCAAACAGGTCACATTTAAATTTTATGCAGGGCAAGCCTATCAAAAGAACAAAACAAATTCCAGCTTTCAAAAACATGACTGTTGCCACTGAAAACGCCCCTCCAAAATCCTAGTTAGAAATAAGAAAAATATTGGTATTCAAGAAGGGTTAGAATGCCATAAAAAAAAAGTTAAGAAATAAGAAAACTAATTCTTGTAATCCTAGCACTTTGGGAGGCAGATAACTCGATGTCTGGAATTGTGGAGACAAGCCCGACCAACAAGGTGAAACCCCGTCTCTATTAAAGCACCTCTGCAAACAACCTCTATGTAAAAGTTTGGTACTACCATTTCATTCTGAACATTAAGGACCTAGTGTGCTTAGTGGATGGACAAGAAAACAAACCAAGTAACGGGAAAGCTTTTCTATGCCAAGAGTAGCAGCACCTCAAGACATGAAGAGACCTAAGGCAAAAGTCAGACTGCTACTGGGGAAAACTGGTAAGTTCTTAGCTAGGGCTAAATAACCATGGCATACATACATGGTCAGTACAAGCATGACAATACAGACCTCATATTAATGAATTCCTTTCCCCATACTAGTTTCAGGAACTCATGCAAAACTTTTATGACAAAGAGACCAGACATTTATAAAAAAGGTAAATGACAACTAGACAACACTCTCCATTAAAAGGGACCTAAGGGCCTTAGGGCTAACAATGCTTTAAAATGTTAATAAGCAACTTAAGCTCAAGAGTTGAGAAAGCAAGTACTATAAATGACTGTAGGATCCCATTTGACTGCGACCATTGTCCTAAAATTCTGAGTGTAGCTAGCTATGGATAAGGGGAAAAGAACCCTCATGAAGTCATTAAGGGATGAGATTGGGGGAGGGCTGAGATAAAAAACATACTTCTCACTTCTCCAAAACATTCCGGTATCTGTGCTTCCCACATTCCCACAAGCTTTGAACAATAACACCTGCAATTTGAGAAAAATGGGTGTTTCCAGAATAAATGATAATTGCTGCCTCCAGAAACTGCCTTGCTGTCCTATTACTCCACTGTCATTATTTCAACTGAGGGTGCTCTGGACCCCAAATCAAATCAAAGAAAGAGTAGTCTACATGCGATGTAGAAGAAAGGCCCACATTTGATTTTGTCAGTGAGTGCTCTAGCCAAAAGACATGGGCCATTCTTTCCACTTCCCAAACCATGAAGTTAAATGCGGGCAATCTCTGTTCCTCCCTCTGCAACCCCTTGCAAACTTACTGCAATTTGTTTACTTTCTGCTACACTCAAAGAAAGTAGGGCTAGCAAACAAATTCTGGCCATCTCTACACATTACCCGTGTAATCTTATATTTAGTAATATACTGCAGCTTTCCTCAACACATGTTACTGTGTTGGTATGAATAAGACAATAAATAGGTAGGGCAATCTTACCTGACATTGATTAGATATTGAGCCAGGCTAATGCTGGCAGCAGATCCAGTGATGGTAACCTGCCTATCAGTAGATCCTTCCACTGGGTTCGCAATTTTGATCTGCGCCCCAGACATCTGACGGATCTCATTGATTTTGGCGCCCTGACGCCCGATTATGCAGCCAATCAACTTAAGGGAGAAAATCAAGGCACAGTGAATTAGAGTTGCATGGCTAAGTCCAAGAATCCCACCCTCTCCTCTAGCTCCTACTACTTGGGTCCCAGAAAACGGCAATGGAAACTTCCTTTTTTTTTTTTTTAAACATCCTTTTTTTAAAGACAGTCTCACCCACCCTGTGGCCAGAATGGAGTGCAGTGGCGCCATCTCAGCTCACCGCAACCTCCACCTCCCGGGTTCAAACCATTCTCCTGTCTCAGCCTCCTGAGTAGCTGGGACTATAGGCATGCACCATCACACCCGGCTAATTTCTTTTTATATTTTTAGTAAAGATGGGGTTTCATTCACCATGATAGCCAGGATGGTCTCGATCCCTTGACCCCGTGATCTGCCCGCCTCGACCTCCCAAAGTGTTGGGATTACGGGCGTGAGCCACCATGCCTGGCCCTTTTAAAAAAAAAAAAAAATTGAAACAGGGTCTTACTATGTTTCTCAGGCTAGTCTCGAACTCCTTAGCTGAAGCCATCCTCACACCTCAGCTTCTGTCCCTCTGTGCTCCATGTACCTGGGATTACAGGTGCATACCACCAGGCCCAACTTCATCCTACACCCTTTACCTATATACTTTTAATCAAAAAACTCAATTAACTCTTGACCCATTCTTTAGTCTAACCACTCATGGTGAGAGCCAGTTCTGAGCTAACTTGCTCTTATGTCCGAGTATTAGTTCTTCATTATTGCTGTCCTCAGAGTATTATTAATTCCAAAGACAAAATAAACCAGAGCAATCCAAGAATAAGCTTAGCTAAAAATAAAGGTAGAAATACATTCAGTCATCCTGCCATCATTACCACCTTACTATACTGACAAGAATTCTAGGGCAGGGTGCGGTGGCTCACGTCTATAATCCCAGCACTTTGGGAGGCCGAAGCGGGTGGATCATGAGGTCAAGAGATCGAGATCATCTGGTCAACAAGGTGAAACCCCATCTCTACTAAAAATACAAAAATTAGCTGGGCATGGTGGTGCATGCCTGTTGTCCCAGCTACTCGGGAGGCTGAGGCAGGAGAATTGCTTGAACCCAGAAGGTAGAGGTTGTGGTGAGCCAAGATCGTGACACTGCACTCCAGTCTGGGTAACAACAGCAAAACTCCATCCAAAAAAAAAAAAAAGAATTCTGGCCAATTCCTAAGGTGTTTTTGCCTTGGTAAAAGGTAAAAACAAACACACAAAAAGAAAACTGGTCTACATTTGCATTGTCCAATACTATAAACAGTAATATGTGGTTACTGAACACCTGAACTGTGGCAAGGGAGACTGAGGAACTAGTCATTTTATTATTCTCAAGTTAAATACCCACATGTGGTTAGTGGCTATCATATAACCTTGGACAGCACAGATCTAATGTTCATGAATCACTACACTCTGGAGGGGGAGGCAGTGGCTCAGGCCTGTAGGCTGAGTTGAGCCAACCATTTGTGCTCAGGGGTTTGAGACCAGCCTCGGCAACATGGTGAAATCCCATCTTTACAAACAAATATATAAAAATAATTAAGCCAGGCTTAGTGGTGGCACCTGTGTTCCCAGCTACTCAGGATGCTGAGATGGAAGGATCTCTTAAGCCTGAAGTTCAAGGTGGGTCATTCCTATAACCCCAGCACACTTTGGGAGGCCAAGGCTGGTGGTTCACCTGAGGTCAGGAGTTCAAGACCAGCCTGACCAACATAGAGAAACCTTGTCTCCATGAATAATACAAAATGAGCTGGGCATGGTGGCACATGCCTATAATCCCAGCTATTCAGGAGACTAAGGCATGAGAATTGCTTGAACCCAGGAGGCGGAGGTTGGAGCAAGCCAAGATGATGCCACTGCACTCCAGCCTGGGCCACAAGAGTAAACCTCCGTTTCAAAAATAAATAAATAAATAAACAAATAGCAGGACACTGCTGTAAAGATGTCTGTTTCTTTAAAACCAATTTTCTTATTTTCATCCCATGCAACCTAACTATACTTACATCGTTTGGAATGGTGAGTTCATGAGAAGTAGTCTGAGCGGATGCATCCAAACCTGCTAAAAGACAGAAGAGAGCAAGCAAATTCAATGCACTGCATTCAAAACCCCACTGACTTGCACATTAAACTAACAGAAGGAAATAAACTGGAAACCCAGCATTGGCTGTTGGGATTCATCACTAACTTGGAAGCCTCCAAAGAGGAAAGAGGGTGGGAGAAGGGTGTAGAAATAATGCTCGAAAGGTTCTTCTGTACACTCAGAAGAGCTGATTTCATGCCATTTCCTGCAAAGCCCAGACTATTAGGGATGGGGGATGGACGCAAGGGCAAGGGAGTGTGGTATCCTCAAAGAGGATCAAAATCTAAACAAGTCCTTCTGTACTTCTACCCCTTTCCTGCTGTGTTCCATATTGTATCTCACCTGATGCTCACTAGCACCAGTGCCAATATTATGCCTGTTAATGGGTACCATGGACTTTTGGCACACATGCAGAGTTGCTTTAAATATACCTTTATCAGATTAATGCCCTCCACCCACTATCCTCCTAACTTAGACTGGAAGGTCAGATAGAATGAAATGGCAGTCAGGTGAGGGGGACTTCATTTCTCCGGATTTACTCCCTGTCTTCTGCTCAATAATTTTGTTCTGGCTTTTGTTTTACAAAGAAAAAGAAAAAAAAAACCCATCAGCAAATACCCATACCCATCTTTTAACAACACCTGGACTGAACCAGGTCAGCTGGCTAACACTCAAGCTTAGTCCTGATCTCAGCTTTGGCTGCTGGTCTCAACATTTTTAGAAGGGGGTTGGCCAGATCCATCAAGGGACCCTCGGGGGCACCAGGCCCACCCCTTTGCTCTCTCAGCTCCTCTCTGCCATGTGCATGTTGCTGGTATGGTTCATGGGCAGTGAAACAAGACTCCCACCAGTTTATTAATATAACAGTAGAATACTACAGATTTTTTTTTTTTAATCATTACCCCAATAGCCTTTCACCTCTGGAGAGCTGGATTCAATGCCTGTTAAGATACAAGTGAAAATGAGTTTGGTGGTCTCATCCTAACCCTATCGGACAAGTTATTCCTTATACAGAAAAGCCCCAAAAACAGAACAAAACAAAAACAAAAACAAAAAAACACTACACAATTTGGCACAAATGGATGGTCTCTACCCAAGCCTGTGAATTGCTGGTGGAGAGAAAGGGGGTGCTGATCAGATCAAGGGGGCAACAGTCAGGATGAGCTCAAAGAAATATCAGCCTACCCTTTACCTGACAAGCATCCCCAAACCTCACCCCCAAACCTTCCAGGGCCTTTTTTTTTTTTTTTTTTTTTAGAATAACTGACCCCAAATGAAAACCACGTTAACAAACACATTACCTCCTTGGGCTTAGCCATAGTAGACAGGCAAGTTTAAACCAGCAAGATGCTGGATAACGAAGTTTGTTTTATACAGATGTCAAGCTGAGACCTTGGGACTGGCCTCTCTCTTGCACTACACCTTACAGAAATAAACACTGAGGTATCCATACCACTGAATCCGGTGTTGCCATGCGTCATGGGAAAATGAGACTGTTGCATTGCCAACTGGTGCAGCTTGGTCAACTGCAAGGAGGAAACAGGAGGTTGGCATTAGATTTAACAGCCAGGGCTCAAACACATTCAAATGAGAAAATGCAGGTCCTGATCCCCAAAATTGACTCTACTACTCAAACTACAACAAAGGGTAGGGATGGGGTTTACATCACAATCCTGGGATTGGCAGAATATGAAGGGTAAGGGTTAGAAATAGAAAGGGAGTCTGTTAGAGAATGAATGCATTTTGGGTGTGTGAATAGAAAAGCAACAGCACTTGCCCCACGACCGTCCCCTTGTGGGCTACTTAATGAAGGTAGTTTGCAGCCATTGCAACAGTTGCCGCAGGGACAAGCACAGACAGGCTAGGTAAACAAACTGCAGTGGTGCTAGGGAAAACACACCATGCAGGGTTTCATCAGTACTGGGGAGAGGGAAGGAAATGAGGAGGGCAGGGAGACTGGAAGGAGGAGAGAAGTTAAGAAACCATAGTGGGTTTAGTCCCATCACTGCCACCACTGACTACTACAGCTATTTATTCATCTATATAAACTGTCCTGTCATAAAATAATCCTTCTTCACGTCTACTTCCCTCTCTCCTGGGACCTACCACTAACCAAGACCCAAACTCAACTTCCCAAGTCTAATATTCAGTACCTGAAAAGGTTAGTAAGGATAAAAGTGCAGAAAGAAATGCCCTTGAAGTCTAAATACCAGCACTTTTAAATAGGAGGTTTTAGCGGCAAGAAAGGTTTAATTCTAAAATGTTCAGGTTCCTATTCCTCTCTGTGTAAATAAGCCCCTTCCCCATCCCTCCAAATACTTTTAAAATTGTCACCTGAGTGAGGAGTACCCAAGGGCAAACCCAACCTCCCAATACCCCCATGGAAAGAAGAGCATGCAAGGAAGCACAGTCTGAATGTCAATTTAAACTGTGCCCTGAGATAACAAATCACAGTATACCATGGAACATTTCTCTTTTAGAAAGGGTAATCTGAAATACAGGGGAAAGGAGGAGCTAATATGCTGAATTAAATTTCAGGGGTTAAATGTCAAAAGGCAAACAAGGCATTACCCTGATTAAAGGGCTGAAATATGGGATTGACCTTGTGAAGAAAACAATATTGCAAATGCTGAAGACCCAACTCACTTCTGGCTACTTGGGAGAAAGGAGTGAGACAATTTTGGATGGGAGAGGGAGCTTTTCAAAACAAGAAGTGAAAACAAAACTTACATCTGGCTGTGGAATGGCATACTGTCCTTGAATGGTATAGGCCTACAAAAGGAGGAAAACAGTTCCTATTAAAAACCAATCACGGACAGCCACCCAGTGGGGGGAAAAAGACATATCAACTAGCCAGGAAGCCAGAGTTGAATTACAGAATGGGGGAGGCCAGAGACTGAGGCAGTAGATGGAATCTCACAAATACGGGCAGACCCAAATTGGCCTTCTTTGAACCCTAAGTATAACTTTATTCCGGGGATCCTATAAAGGTAGTCAAGTTCCCTGCAGTTAAAGGCAAAATATACGTAAACTGTTTCTTAATGAAAATGTGGGAAGTGAGATTAGCAATGCCTCGACTGACCAAGCCCCACTCTTCCTCCCTGTATACAGGATAGCCTAGGAGGAATAATAGTCTCTTCCCTCACCACCCCAACCCTTCTACCAATTGTGGTGATGTGGGAGATCTGTATCTGCACAAACCTACATGGCATGTTTTGAAACACTTTCTTTTTTCCCCAACTTATTTTTTCATCTGCCTAAAGACTTAAGAACACTGGATGCTAGCTGAGTCCCTAACACTAGGGAGTTGATCACAGGTACACAAAAACCACTGTGTTCTAATTCCTGTCTTCTCCCACCTCCCCTCCATCATAAAAGGTACTTGCAGCTCCCACTATGCCCTCCACCCCCCAACAACGGAACCTCCCAAAAAGGGAGCTGGGTCTTCAGGGAAATGGGGTGGGGAACAAGGAGGAAAGGAAGAGGGAACAGGGAGGGAAGGGAAGGAGTGGCTGGTTAACAGGATGTGAAGCTTCTCACATCACAGTGGCCAGTACCCCCAAAAGTATACCCAGGTGGGGGTGGAAGGAAGGTGAAAATGGGGTAGGAGTGGGAGAAGGGAAGAGGGGTTGAACAAAAAAAATTAAAAAAAAAAAAAAAAAAAAAAAGTTGGTGTTACCATCTGGTGGGCTACGCGGCCTGGGTGAAATGAGGTTGGGGGGTCAGTCCAGGTCCCCGTGGACAGGTGGTGTCCACAGCACCAAAAATCACCAGCGCCACTGGCCCCCCCGCGTGTTGGCAGTCTCGGCTGAGGCGGAAGGATTGAGTGAGCCTTGGAGACTGAACATCCCCTCTCACCTCTAGAGGTGGTCCCTCCAGGTCAGGGTTGAGGCACATGGACGGGGTGGTGTGGGGAAAGCTCGCACTGTCGCTGCCTGTGCTGTACCTGTCCTGTGGATAAATAGAGGATTTCAGTCTCCAGGGCTGTCAATCCGGCACCTTGTCACCAGCATGAAATTCACACAAAAAAAAGTTTATTTTTTTTCCTTTTTCCTTTAAAAAGGAGCTCAAACACAATTGGAAACGAGCTGTAATCAGTGAATTTAAAAAAAAAGTTACCTAGTGGCAGATTTCACACTGCACAATTGGGCTATTTTCAGTAATGAAGGGGTGGGGCAACAGAGCTGATGCCAGCTCCTAGTCAGTGTGGGATTAAGTTGAACCCCTACAGAGCCCACTTTGCCACAAAGGAACAAAAGACACAGGTCCATCTGTGGATATTGTATATTTAAAAAGGCCTGTGGGAACGAACCATGACAGGGCCACTCATAGAAGAAACTGCAAGTTTTTAGACGGTGGTCGACTAAATAAAGGGGAGGGAGGGAGGAAGGTAGGGAAGCAAAGAGGTATGAAGGGGGAGGTGTGATGGGGAGGGGAAAAAAAGGAAATGAAGGAAGAAATTGAAGCAGAGAGGATTGCTGCCACCCAGTATGGGACTCTATATATTCCAAAGGTGAGTGGGAGAATCCAGAAGAGCAGGAACCTGGAGTTCCTGGGAAGGAAAAATTCCAAAGGCTAACCCCTCCTGGCTACACTGACTCTGGACCTTTGCTTATCCTGCCCAATTCTGACTGTCTAGGACTGAGAGCCTTTTGGCCAAACCAGTTTGTACAAGGCTAGTGCTAAAAGCAAGGTACTAAACTCAAGGTAATACTGTGATGTAACTAACCTTCTGTGAAAGTAGCTATGATAACTACACGACAAACTAAATCCCTAAAAACTTGTTCATTTTTATGACAATTCAACAGAACGTGAATGAGATGGACTCCCAAGTTTATGCTTGCCCTCTAAATGGCTCCGAAACAAATGCAAATAAGATGAAACTAGTTAACTAAATATGCTTCTAACAGACCAGCCCCAAGTGGGAAAAGGTATTTTGAGCAATGCACTTGCTTAGGTAGCTACTAAAATCAGACACTATTTCAACCTGAATCCCAATACAGTTATCCCTAGGTGTTCCTAGGTTATCAGTGGGGGATTAGTTCTAGGATCCCCCCATAGAAATAAATATCCATGTGCAAGCCTCTTTTTTTTTTTTTTTGAGACAGAGTTTCACTATTGTTGCCCAGGTTGGAGTACAATGGCATGATCTCAGCTCACTGCAGCCTCCGCCTCCCAGGTTTAAGCGATTCTCCTGCCTCTGCCAGCCGAGTAGCTGGGATTACATGCATGCACCACGCCCGGCTAATTTTTGTATTTTTAGTAGACGGGGTTTCACCATGTTGCCTAGGCTGGTCTTGAACTCCCAACCTCAGATGATCCGCCTGCCTTGGCCTCCCAAAGTACTGGGATTACAGGCGTGAGCCACCACACCCAGCCAATACTCAAGTCTTTTACATAAAATGGTATAGTAGTTGCATATAACCTAAGCATATTTTCCCATATACTTTAATCATCTCTCTATTACTAATAATACCTAATACAATGTAAATACTAAATACTTTTTATACTTTGTTAATGATAAAACAAAGCCTGTACATGTTCAGTACAGATGCGACCACCCATTTTTTCCCTGAATATTTTTGATCTGAGCTGGGTTGAAGGTGGAACCCACAAACACAAAGGGCCAACTGTATTTTAAAAACTGACCTACCTACTCCTCAAATACAATCAGAGCATAGGACTACCATGGTCCTGATCAATGCTTCAGTCATAATAATCTAACTTCAGAATAGTTCATGTGCCAAAGATTAAGAGTTTAGGTTGGTGAGGAAGGAGCAGAGAGAGGCCAAGGGGGTGCTTTGGTGTTCTTACTCTAACACCAAAGGTCACGGCACCACAGCCCAACATGCTCACCCCCCTATTCTTACATACTGAACTCTTACCCCAGCTGATTTCAGTTATGCCATGTGGGTTCAAACCAGTGTTTATGAGGTTAAGAGCCTGGGGGACAACACACTGGAGTTTGGGAGTGAAGGGGTAGGAGTAGGGGAGGTGAGGTGGAGGGAAGGGGAAGTTTGTAGGACACTCAAATTCAGGACCCCCAAATTTTGAGACCACCATCCAGAATCTCCTTCAGAGGTCCAACTCTTTGCTACCTTTTATTTAGACCTCTAAATATCACCCCACACATATAAAACATGGATGGGGTGGGGACAGGGAGCGAAGTAGTGACAGTGAGGCAATTCTAACCCAACCCGCCTTAAGTAACCAAGTAAGTTACCTCTTCCGAGTGCCTACAAAACTTCCATTGCCTGCTCAAATTTAAGGCATTCACAGCTTTCTCCAGTACAAAAAATAAAACTAAAAGCAGGTCAAACTATGGCCAGAGTATAGGTTTCAGCAAGCATGCAGAGTGGTTTGGTGTGATGCTGGCAAAGTTGACATTTCAAATATAATCTCTGTTCACTCTAGCCCACCAATAAGAATTTTCTTACCTGACCACCTGCAAAGATGACTGGAGAGCTGGACGGCTTGGGCCGGTACGGGATGGTCACGCCCTTCGGGGGGGACTGGGAGAGAGTCAGAGGGGAAAAAAACAAAAAGAGATAAGGTTTCAAAGCTGCTTCAGCTGTGTGGCTTTAGCTCACACAGATCAGATAATTAAAAACTATTTCCATCCCCTTACCTACACCAAATTGTCTCTGGCTAGACCTAATCTCAAATTATCTACTAGAAGTTATTTGCCTTTAATGCAGTAACTCCAAGGACTACACAATTCAAACTAATTCTCATGAAGGAAGATATGCTTGTAATAATCTTTGGCACTATTTCCAAAGTTTTAAGTAAATATAATGAATGTGAAAAACTGTGTAAACATATACATTTTAGTTGGTAGTTTAGCTTACATTTTTTGGCCTGAATAGAAAATAAGTCAAAACTGGAAATAAAGTAGTACTCAAATGTTTTGTCTAGAATAATATAGACACGATCTATAAATAGTTCAAAGGCCCAAGCAAGGTTTTGCTAATCTCTACTTGAAAATTCCAGTTTCTAGCTGGGGGCGGTGGCTCATGCTGGGAATCCCAGTACTTTGGAAGGCTGAAGGCAGGTGGATGGCTTGAGCTCAGGAGTTCAAGACCAGCCTGGGCAACATGGCAAAATCCTGTCTCTACAAAAAGTAACAAAAAAAAAAGCCAGGTGTGGTGGCACATGCCTGTAGAACAAGCTACTGAGGAGACAGGTGAAAGGATCACTTAAGCCTGGTAGGCAGAGGTTGCACTGAGCCGACATCGCATCTAGGCACTCCAGCCTGGGTGACAGAGCGACCAGTCACACACAAACACACACATACAAAAAAATTCCAGTTTCATTTCTCACCAATGAAACCAACTCCGTATCACAAATCTGAAAAGGCTTAATTTTCCTGAATTTTGCTATTCTTTTAAGAGAATAATAGTACGTAATCAGGACCTCATAAGTCATTCGGAAACATCATCATACATATTATTTTTCTATTCTACATAATATTTTGAATACCCTGCTACAAAGTGACAAGATGTTAAAGAGCATATCAAATTTCCATGTAACCCAAATACAGTAATTAAAAAAGTAATTTAACTCAGCTACTCAGGAACCCATATACATTTTGGCCTCTTCAGTCCATGTAGTGCACCTTCCCCTCCCACTCTGCTATAACTGCTGTGAACCAAAAGATCACTGCTGCTTAGCAGTTTCTATTTTTGCTCACAGACCATAAGAAAAGTCAAAGCTAGGGGAAGGAAAATATGAACTCAGGGAACCTTTTACCCCCCACCCCCACTGGAAGACTTAACAGCTTCACTTAATTCTAGTCTTACTAAATATAGAGCACAGTCCTTCTGTCCCCAGAATTGCCCTCCCCGCATTCTCAGCATGAGCCTGAGGGCTTACCTCCAACATGACCACGCAGATCTGTTTGACACACTCAATGATGGATTGCGGAATGCCAGCAATAGTGATGGCCCGCTCAGTTGAGTTGGGTAACATATCCCCTGCCACCTGGACCTGAGCCCCTGTACTCTTTGGAGTAAAAAGAAATTCAGAATAAGAGAAAAACAGCTCATACTCTTCCAATTCCTCCCAGAAGCAATTTCAGAGTCTAAAACTCTAGTGGATATTTATCCCATTTCCCATCTTCCCTTTTTGTTCTTTGTCCCACTCTTCCCTTCTTCCAGATAGAACTGTTTAATGAATTAGAGTTAAAAATAAATGAGCCACTGAAAGACAAGAATAAGTGAATAAAAGCCTAAATTTAACCTACTCTCAAGCAAAAGGTCCTTCTAGACAGCTTCCTCTCAACTAATGACAGTTCTCTGGGCAAAGCAAAAGCGCCACAAATATCACCCACCTTTCATTATCTTACTGAATAAATATCTTCTACATCAAGTCCATTCTATGTGCCTGGTACCATGACAAGTGTTCAGAATACAGCAATTAACAAAATTAAGATCTCTGCTGTCATGCCATGTACAGCAGGCTCCCAAAAACTCAAATGAGAAGCCATAGACTTTCATTCCAACACCAAATTCAGTAACCTCTAGACACAATTAAAATCTTCCCTAATAGTAACTTCCATAGTTAAACAGGAAGTAGGCGCCAGGCACGGTGGCTCACACCTGTAATTTGAGCACTTTGGGAGACCAAGACAGTCTAATCTCTGGAGCTCAGCCTGAGCAAAACAGTGAGACCCCCGTCTTTACAACAAAAATACAAAAATCAGCTTGGCATCGTGGAGCGCGCCTATGGTCCCAGCTACTCAGGAGGCTTGAGGTGGAAGGATCATCTGAGCCCAGGAAGTCGAGACTGCAGTAAGCCATGGTCATGATTATGCCCTGCACTTCAGCCTGAGAGTAAGATCCTGTCTCAAAAAAAAACGTGGGGGCTCACACCTGTAATCCCAGCACTTTGGGAGGCCAAGGCAGGTGGATCGCCTGAGGCCAAAGTTCCACACCAGCCTGACCAACACGGAAAAACCCCACTTCTATAAAGATTACGAAAATTACGGGGTCCAAAGTGGCTCCTGCCAGAGGCGCTTGCGAAGGCAAGGTCATGAGTTCAAGGCTAACCTGAGCAACCTTATAAGCTTAAACTGATTGGCCAAAAAAAAAAAAAAAAAAAAAAAAGATTACAAAAATTAGTTGGGTGTAGCGGTGTGAGCCTATAATCCCAGCTTCTCTGGAGGCTGAGATGAGAGGATCACCTGAGCCTTGGAAGGTTGATGTTTAGCTACAATGAGCCAAGATTGAGCCACTGCACTACAGCCTGGGGTGACAGGAGGAAAAAAAAATTGGTTTTTAAAAATTTTTTTAAAAAAAGAAAATAGAAGAAACTGTTGCTACTGTATCTGTTATCTCTTGAGACATGAAAACATTGCCAAAAAAAATGGACACTTGTTATACATAATACTTAAAAATTATGATTACCTTTCTCATGCTGATTTATTAAAGTTTATGAATTATGCAAAATAATTCTATTGCAAGATACTTTCATTTTCAATACAATCACATTGTAATCCTCCGGAACTGGTATTTTAATAAAAATCTTCATCTCATTGCTAACTTTTCCTAGCCATACAAAGAGCCCATTTGGACCAAATAGTTAACATTTCTAAAAGGAGCATAAGTCACTAACCTCTCGTATTTCCTTGATCTTGCAACCACCTTTTCCAATGAGAGAGCCACACTGACTAGCAGGAACCACCAGCCTCAGGGTGACCGGGGGTCTACTGGCAGCTGTGCTATTGGTCATAGAGCTGCTTATGTCCTACAGAAAGAAAGAACACCAGAAGGATAAGCAGATCCCTGGAAATGAGTAACTGCCGTTACAGAACCACTTACCCTTGATCTTATCAGGACATGTGAGGTCATAACCCACCACAAAGGTTCAAATTATTTCTGATGTAAAGATAAAAACTTTACATCAAAAATATAAAGTTTATCTTTAACTATATTAACTATTTTTGATAAACTCGAACTGTTTTTGATGTAAAGATAAAAACTCTTGAAAAACTCCTCAGAATTAGCCATAAATATATTTTCCTTTACCCCCGGGGAATGTACTTGGTAGGGAGAAAAGTGATAACCTGTTTTGCAATTACACTTAGCTAGGCAATGAGCAAAAAAACTTGACATAAAAATTAAATTAAATACATCTAAGCACAGTAGCTCACGCTTGTAATCCCAGCACTTTGGGTAGCCAAAGCAGGTGGATCATTTCAGGTCAAGGAATTTGAGACCAGCCTGGCCAATATACCGAGACCCCATCTCTACTAAAAACACAAAAATCAGCTGAGTGTGGTGGCTCATGCCTATAATCCCAGCTACCCGGAGGGTGCCACAGAAGAATTGCTTGAACCCAGGAAGCGGAGCTGCAGTGAGCAGAGATCGTGCCACAGGACTCCAGCCTGGGGAACAGAGACTCCATCAAAAAAAAAAAAAAACAAAAAAAAAGAGGCCAGTTGCAGTTGTGGCTCACATCTATAATCCCAACATTTTGGGTAGCCAAAGCAGGTGGTTCAAGACTAGCCTGGCTAACATAGTAAGACCCCATGCCTACTAAAAACACAAAAATCGGCCAAGCATGGTGGGTCATGCCTATGATCCCAGCTATTTGGGAGGATGCCACGGGAGAACTGTTTGAACTTGGGAGGCACAGGTTGCACTGAGCCAAGATTACACCACTGCACTCCAGCCTGGGTGACAGAGCAAGACTCCATATCCAAAAAAAAAAAAAAGGGCCATAGATTCGAAACTGTATTGGTTTAAAGCCTAAAGTCTTTCCCATAAATGTAAGTTGTATCCAGAAAGTCATAGTTTTAACCTAGTTAAATTCAGCCTTGTGAAGATTAAGTGGTTTACATATCACTTAATAACTAGAGACGTGGAAACAAACTGCTTAAGCAGTTAAGATCCCTAAAGTCAAGGACAAGTTTATTACTTGGTTAAGGAATAAACAATTCATACTCTAGCTTTCTAGATTTGTCAAAAAATTTTTTTAAAAATTCAATAAAGACCAGGCACAGTGCCTCATGCCTATAATCCCAGCACTTTGGGAGGCTGAGACAGGAGAATTACTTGAACCCAAGACCAGCCTGGGTAACATAGGAAGGCTATCTCCACAAAACCTGCAAAAATTAGCCAGACATGGTGGTTCGTGCCTGTAGTCCCAGCTTCTGGGGAGGCTTAAGTGGGATGACTGCTTGAGCCCAGGCAATTAAGGTTGCAGTGAGCCATGATAACACAACTGTACTCCAGCCTGGCGAACAGAGCGAGACCCTGGCTCAAAAAATAATTTAAAAAATAGTGGCCCACACCTGTAATCCCAACAGCTTGGGAGGTAAGATAGGAGGACCACTTGAGGGCAGGGGAGTTTGAGACCAGCCCAGGAAACCTAATAAGCTCCCATATCAACAACAAAAAAAGGTTTCTAAAAAATTACCATGCACCTGTAGTCCCAGCTATTCAGGAAGCTAAGGCAGATCACTTGAGCCTGAGAGGATGTAGTGAGCTAGAGTATACCACTGCACTCTAGCCTGGGCGACAGAGAAAAACCCTGCCTCAAAAAACAACAAAAAAACTATGATGTATTAAAAAAAAAAAAAAAAAAAAAAAAGAACAAGATCAAGTTCATTCTTGTTAAAGAAAAAAACTAAACATATGTTTCCCAAATGTTTTTTAAGCCATGAGTTCTGGACTCAAGAGAGTCCTGGGGGTCAAAAGATAACATTTCTAATCTTGGCAAGGATAAGATTTCAGGCACCATTAAGTACCAACCACTAAAGCAGCAGCACTCCTCTGCCTGTGGTATCAATTGCACGATTAGCTGCATTACTGCAGAAGCAGTAAAGGGAGAGACTGAATGCAAGACCTAGGACAATAGGTTAGCCTCTGAAGGTTGGTGGGGGAAAAACAACTTCCTCTTGAAAAAACCTCTGGGTAAGTATTTTCTATGTCTCTCCCAACAAGTATAATTTTGACACAATGTTAGACTGACTTTTTAACCTAAGAGCATCAGAACTGAAAAATTATTTATGTTTATAGTGTCAGTCGGGTAAACCTTATTAGTTTGGTATACTCAAGCCTTTTACCAAAGCAATGGCATACCTTCAACATGATTTTCATGCAAATTACTTACACTAAGTCCATGGCAAAATTTGAACTGTTTGATGATTCAAGTGACTTTTTTTTTTTTTTTTGAGACAGAGTCTCGCTCTGTCACCAGGCTGGTGTGCAGTGGCGCGATCTCAGCTCACTGGAACCTCCGCCTCGCGGGTTCGAGCAATTCTCCTGTCTCAGCCTCCCAAGAAGCTGGGACTACAGGCGCACACCATCACGCCCAGCTAATTTTTGTATTCTTTTTAGTAGAGACATGGTTTCACCATGTTGGCCAGATGGTTTCAATCTCTTGGCCTCGTGATCCGCCTGCCTCGGCCGCCCAAAGTGCTGGGATTACAGGCGTGAGCCACCGTGCCCGGCTTCAAGTGACCCTTTTTTAAACTATAAATGGTCAAATTTTGTGGGAGGCTGCAGGAAGCTAAGGACCCATTTACAGAGTATTCTGGTCCAGTTTGTCCCTGAATTTAAAAAGCTTAGAAAACCAACAAGCTCTCTGGAAGCACTTAAAAATTAAGAATGATGGAATGGGAGAAAACAAACCTCTTCCAGTTTGTCAATGATCATAGCAAAGGCTTTGAAGATGGCATTAGTGGGTCCAGCCAAAGTGATAATTCTCTCAGGACAATTCCCTTCTGAGATGTTGATACGTGCACCACTCTAGAGAGGAAACAAGAGCCAAAAGATGTTAAACAGACAAAGAAGATCTAAGTATGTACAGGATACAGCCCCTTGTAAGAAGGACAAGGAGCTGCCAATGTACACAATCCTGATGCAAGGCAAAATCAGCATCATTTCAAACACTCCTCCACATCTATCCTCAAATACAGCCTACAGGAGCTGCCGTAAGTCTTGAATGAATTCTGACTTGTCAAAATCACACTTCCCAAATAGAAAACAAACAAAAAAACTATACTTCCCAGATTATCATTACAAATAACCAAACTGAAAAAAACGCACGTTTCCCTTATTAAGAACTTCTTCCCTCTAACTTCTGAAAAAGAATTTTCACTTGTTTTAAAGGTTTTTCACTTCCCAAAGTTAACAATCGCAGGTTTTTCATAACTTACCTCTTCGCGCATCTTCTTAACTGATTCTCCTTTCTGTAAAAGGAAAAGTCAAGCATGAGCTCTACTGCTATGTCAATCCAGAATGACTACATGGTAATTAGAGTTGAAGTGAAATTGTCTTACCTTTCCGATGATACTGCCAACTTCCTGCAATGGAGAAAACTAATGTCAGTTAAGAGAAAACTCACAAGTGTTCCTTTTTAAAAATATATTTTATTTTTCCTTTTTCTCCGAATTCTAATGAAGTATTCATTATGACAAGGAATTTTAACTATCCAGCCAACCATCTATGCTAATTATTACCCCAAAGAATGAGTTCTGAAGATTTATTGGGGGGAGAGGGTACTTGCTAAGAGCAATCGCCACGAGAAAATTCTTACCTTCCAGGTTGAGACAGTTTTTGGCTCCAGCCTCTAATTAAGCCTTTCCTGCTCAGTGGAGCTTCCTAGTGAAGTCTGTCCATTTTCCCACTACACTCACATCTACTCCATTAGGGAAATATGCTAAAGCCAGATGCCCCACAGTGCTAATCTGATGAGCTCCAAGATGCATGTCTGCTCTTCCTGGCCCCTCCCCTAGCAGTTACTATGACCCAATTTCCCAAGCTGGAGCATACCTTTCCATGCATAAGTAGCCGGATGGTGAGAGTGACATTTAATCCACCTTCAATCACACCGGTGTCCATGTCGAGCAGTGTTCTGTGGAGCTGGACTCTAGGGAGTGGTCAAGTCTTTGGTCACTGGTGGGGGGTGAAAGCCAAAAACTAAAATGCAAACATGACCAAAATCAGAGTTATTATTCCCAAGTTATTTTCACCTTATTAATATTTTCTACTTCACACTTTTCCTTAAATGACAGTATGCCAGACTTATAAACACACCAAGCACAACTGCATGACAACATTTACAGCTCAAGTTCTGTTACAGAGTATAGAAGGCAACTCTCCAGTTCCTCTCATTAATGAGAGGGTTTCCGCTGACTCTGGGGATGAGGAAGGTTCCTTCAATTGGCAATGGTTCTAAGGGAACTGCTGAACGTGCACCACTTGTCCTTCAGCAGAAAAAGCTTCAAAGAATTCAGAAACACCTGGAAATCGTGAGAGCAAACCTCTAACTATAGTGAGGGCAAATAACCTTGTTTCCCTGCTGGGGAGCATGCTGTTCAAGTTGAAATCGAGAGAGAACACATGTAAATTTTCTTAGTAGTAGCAATTTCTAGATAAGGAAATTGAGATGTAACCCACATTACCAATTTCAAACGTTGATGGCTAACACCAAATGGTTTCTAGAAGGTTTAGATTAAAACCCTCACTTAAAAGGCATTGTCTGAGATGCCTTCCATGCAGGGTGGGGTTCCATATTCCCTTCTGGAAAATAACTCAATACATTGAGTACACTTGAATCCTTTTCTCCTATTCCTCCTTCCAACCCATCTTGATAGTAGTAACTAGATTTGAGATGTTTTCCTTGCTTTTGTGTTTACCACCCAGTTTTTATTTCAAGTCTATTAAATCTTAAATTTTCTCCCAAGAAAACAATTAATGTAAAACTGGCATTGCTAAAATTTGTTTTTAGGAACAGCAGCAATGTACCTTTCCTATATAGGATGGCCTTTTTCCCACCTATGAAACAATTTCTAACATTGTTCCTAACATTTCTGCGTTGGAATAACTAGTTATGTGTAGAAACAAAATTTGTTTTTTGGATATGCCTTCCCCTTCAATACCTCCTTTATCTTTAAAAAGGACCTCTCTCCCAAGTTGTAGAATGTCCCCAATGACATTTTAAGTATCCATCCTAAAACTCAACATGTCATCTCTCTCCTCCCACAGCTAGATTTCCTCCTTCACAAAACCAGCCACTGTGTTAACTTTCCTCTAACACAAAAGCCCATACCCTAAATATCTTAGGTGCTTAAGTGGCTGTCACACCATTCTGTATATGGCAAACTGTCCTCTGGCTACTCCAAGAATGTGATTATATAAGTGCATCCCCAAAGCACATCGTTTCCCTATTTTCAGATTACAATTAATTGCTGGCAAAATCCCAGAATTCAACACTTTTCACTTATGGAAAACCAGGGCTTGGTAAGGAAAGAAGCATTAGGTGTATAAGAACGGCTTTCTTTTTTTAGTAAGATATGGTAAAAATCTGGCAGTTTAATTCCTTACCCCCTTGCAGATGTAATATGAAGCCCTTTACAAATACCATTAATAACGCAACTTCGAAAAGGCAAAAAAAAAACAAAAAAAAAACCAGGAAACCTATTTGAAGCCATTTCTTTAGGTAAAGTACAAAGATGCATTTCTAACTCCAAACCATCTTAGTAATCCAACAAATCTGTCGAATTTCTCTCCCGACTTGGTCAAGACAAATGTATCCCATTCCAACAATCCAGCTGCTAATACTGCTGTCCAATACCCCTTCTATAAATAGCTCACTCTGGGTCTACATCGGCAGGCATTTTGTAATTTAAAAAGTCGTTACCACGAAAAACGTCCTGATTAACTCGGCAACTGGGAGCCCATTTACTCTTTCGTTAACTCCGCAGCCCCCTCTCCCCTCGGTCATCCAAGCATTTTCCACTTCAGAAAAAAAAAAGCCCCCCCCTTCCCTGGACAAGAAAGAAGTGAGGGGGGGAATAAACGGTTCGGTCGGGGGGGGGCGCTGCGATCCAGGGGGAGGGGCCGGACTAGTAGCGCCTCCTCGTGTGGCTGCGCCAGCGCCTGACCCCCGCGGGGAGCCGCGCTCACCCGCCCGGCCAGCAAGCCGGCCATCGCCTCCCCCTACCCCCCACAACCAACAAATCCACCGCCGCCCCCCCTACCGCGCGCGCGCCCTCCCTGACTCCTGCGCAGCCGCCACCGGGAAAAGGCGGGGGGAGGGGGTAGGCCTTGCGCGAGGCCTACTAGGCCTCGCCAGAGCCAGGGCCTCGCGTGAATGACCGACCAGACACAGTGAGGGGGTAGGCGCTCACGCAGGGCTACGCAAGACCGGGGCTCGTGACCAAGACCCGAGCCCACTAAGAACGAAAGCAGGAGTGGAAATTGTAACCATAACCGGGGACGCAGGAGAAATTTTTAGGCTTACCTGCAGGCGCGAGGCGACTGAGGGGAAAAGGGGAGCGGGCGGGAAGGGGAAGGGCGGGAGGCCGGGGGCGGAACAATAGGGGCGGGCGGGAAGGCGAGGGGGGCCCCGCGGGCGGGCGGAGGAGGAAGGGGGGGGTGGAGGAGGAGGAGGAGGAAGGGGGAAAGAGACCCCGGGGCGGGTGGAGGGCGGCGGAGGGCGGGCGGGCGGGCGGAGGGCGGGCGGGCGGGAGAGGGCGCAGGCTGCGGCTGCTCCGGCTGCTGCCTCTGCTGGTCTGGGAGGGGGACGGGGCGGAGCGGCCTGCTTTCAACCCCGCGCACCCTTCGACCCCGGAAGCGCTAACCGCCCCGGGGACCGGCGAGGCAATTGCTTCGTCCAAAGCTTCCCCACGCAATGCAGACGGCCTCCCGAAAGCCTAGAGCGGCTCCTTGGATAGCGTCAGCACCAGCGAGACAATGGCTGCTAGCAAACGGCGAACTGCTATAGAGAGGGAGCGTGGCGGGGGCGGGGGAGCGGGAAGGAAACCAGTGGCCCCTAGCGGACTGGCTGGAAAGTTCAGGCGTTAGTGTGGAGAGGGAGCAGTCGCCATGGATCAAGAAGGGAGAGGAGGAAAAAGGAATGGGTGGAAAGAGAATGAGAAAGGATGAAGAAATCCCAGTAATCTACAGGGATACTCAAAAAAGAAAGGGAAAAATACTAACGTCACTTTAAAGGTGACCATTACATCAATTCCTTAGGCTTAAAAGGAAAGATACATTTAACTTTCCTTTTAGGAAGAAATGTAGTTCATCTGTAATCCATAAGGGAAAGCTCTTTTAAAAAGAATTCCATGTAATAAATGTAGAAGGAGCCGGGCGCGGTGGTTCATGCTTGTAATCCCAGCAGTTTGGGAGGCTGAGGCAGGTGGATCTCCTTAGGTCAGGAGTTGGAGACCAGCCTGGCCAACATAGTGAAACCCCTTCTCTACTAAAATTACAAAAAGGCAGCTGGGTGTGCTGGCAGGTACCAGCTACTCGGGAGGCTGAGGCAGGAGAATCGCTTGAATCCAGGAGGCAGAGGTTTGTAGTGTGCTGAGATCGCGCCATTGCACTCCAGTGTGGGCAACAAGAGGAAACTCCACCTCAAAATAAATAAATAAGTAGAAGAAATGAAAGAAATAGAAGGAATTGGAGTTGAAAAGTCACCATTGTGTGACCCAGAATGAAATAATTCATTCAGGCAAGTTTATCAATCATTAAAATTTTGAGAAAGGTTGTTAGGGAACAGGATATTATCATGACACTAAATATCACCACACAGATTTGCAAATAACATCTTTTTTTTTCTTTTTTAAGTAACTTCAAATGGGCTGGGGGTGCTGGCTCACCTTTGTAATCCCAACACCTTGGGAGGCTGAGACAGGCAGATGGCTTGAGCTCAGGCGTTCCAGACCAGCCAACATAGTAAGATCCATCTCTACTAAAAAATACAAAAATTAGCTGGTGTGGTGGCACATGCCTGTGGTCCTAGCTATTCAGGAGGCTGAGATGAAAGGATCACTTAATCCCTGGTGGTCAAGGCTGCAGTGAGCCATAATGACAGCCCCTGCACTCCAGCCTGTCTCAAAAACAACAAATTTTTTAAAAAACAACTTCAAATAGAGAGATCTAGCAGTTACCACCTTACCCAAGTAAATAAGTGATCAAACTACATCACTCATAGTAGGACATCTTTACACTGAATGGTCCTTGGAAAGATGCAACAAGAAGTACACCACATCATCTAGTAAATATTCTTGCCAAAAGTGCTTAATCTTTAATCAAGCCATTATATCTGATTTGCAATTTATAGGAGATTTAAAGAGGATGAAGGAACAAGTTCAATACCAATACAACACAGGGAGATATTTTACAAATCCAGAATGTAAGACATTCCACAAGACAACTAGCCGGTCTTGTCAAAAAAGCAATGGAATATAAAAAAAGAATTAGTTGAACATGGTAGTGTGCATCTATAGTCCCAGCTACTCAAGAGGTTAAGGCAAGAAGATCATTTGGGCCCAGGAATTCAAGGGTGCAGTGAGTTATGATGTCACCACTGCACTGCAGCCTGGGTGACAGAGCAAGACCCATCTCTTAATAAATAAACAGGCTGGGGGCAGTGGCTCACACCTGTAATCCCAGCGCTTTGGGAGGCTGAGGCGGGCGGATCATGAGGTCAGGAGATCAAGACCATCCTGGCCAACATAGTGAAACCCTGTCTCTACTAAAATACAAAGAATTGGCTGGGCATGGTGGTGCGCACCTGTAGTCCCAGCTACTTGGGAGGCTGAGGCAGGGGAATCAGTTGAACCTGGGAGGTGGAGATTGCAGTGAGCCCAGATCATGCCACTGCACTCTAGCCTGGGCTACTGAGAGTCTGTCTAAAATAAATAATGAACGAATGAATGGAAAGAAAAGAGCAGGAATTTAAAAATGTTTAAGGCCGTAATAACCAAATATAATGAGTGCCCCTTGCTTGGATCCTGGGTTTTTTTTTTTTTTGTTATTGTTTTTGGTTTTTTGTTTTGTTTTTGACACATGGTCTTGCTCGGTTGCCCAGGCCAGAGTGCAGTGGTACTATGCTCACTATAACCTCCACCTCCCAAGTTCAAGCAATTCTCCTGCCTCAGCCTCCCAAGAAGCTGGGATTACAGGCGCCTGCCACCACGCCCAGCCAATTGTAGTTTTAGTAGGGATGGGGTGTCACCATGTTGGCTAGGCTGGTCTCAAACTCCTGACCTCGTGATCTACCCACCTTGGCCTTCCAAAACACTGGAATTACAGATGAGAGCCACCACACCTGGCCTGGATCCTGGTTTTAAAAAAAGTTGCTGGATAAGACATTTAAGGGACAACTGAGAAAGTTCAAACATGATCTGAATGATAATATTAGGAAGTATTTTTAATTTTCTTTTTTTTTTTTTTGAGACAGAGTTTCGCTCTTGTTACCCAGGCTGGAGTGCAATAGCACAATCTCGGCTCACCACAACCTCCGCCTCCTGGGTTCAGGCAATTCTCCTGCCTCAGCCTCCTGAGTAGCTGGGATTACAGGCATGCGCCACCATGCCCAGCTAATTTTTTTGTATTTTTAGTAGAGACGGGGTTTCACCATGTTGACCAGGTTGGTCTCAATCTCTCGACCTCGTGATCCACCTGCCTTGGCCTCCCAAAGTGCTGGGATTACAGGCGTGAGCCACCGCGCCCGGCCTTTAATTTTCTTAAGTGTGATAATGGAACCATGGGTATGTAAGGAAATTTTTTTTTTTTTTTTTTAAAGACAGTTTCACCATGTTGGCCAGGCTGGTCTTGAACTTCTAACCTCAGGTGATCCACCCACCTTGGCCTCCCAAAGTGCTGAGATTACAGGCATGAGCCACCACTCCGGGTGAAAATAGTTTTTCTTTTTCTTTCTTTTTTTTTAGACACAGTTTCGCTGTTGTTACCCAGACTGGAGTGCAATGGCACAATCTCGGCTCACCGCAACCTCCGCCTCCTGGGTTCAAGCAATTCTCCTGCCTCAGCCTCCTGAGTAGCTGGGATTACAGGCATGAGCCACCACGCCCAGCTAATTTTTTGAATTTTTGTAGAGATGGGGTTTCACCATGTTGACCAGGATGGTCTCGATCTCTTGACCTCGTGATCCACCCGCCTCAGCCTCCCAAAGTGCTGGGATTACAGGCATGAGCCACTGTGCCCGACCCCAAACTTAATTTTCATAATAAAAATGGGAAAAAAATATGATGGAATAAATGGAAAAAGATTTCCAAAATGTAGATAATTACTAAAGCTAGATGATGAGAGTATAGGAATTAATTAAACTATTTTCTTGGCTGGGTGCGTGGCTTACGCCTGTAATCCCAGCGGAAGGCAAAGGGGAGTGGATCACCTGAGACCAGTCTAGCCAACATGGTGAAACCCTGTCTCTACTAAAATTAGAAAAATTAGCTGGGCATAGTGATGGGCACTTATAATCCCAGCTACTCCAGAGGCTGATGCAGAAGAATCACTTGAACCCAGGAGACAGAGCTTGCAGTAAGCTGAGATCATACCATTGCATTCCAGCCTGAGCAACAAGAGCAAAACTCTGTCCCAAAAATAATAAATAAATAACGATTTTCTTTACCGTTGTGTATATCTGTACATTTCCACATTACAACACTTAAAAAAAAAAAAAAAGAGTGGGGTCTGAGCACAGTGGCTCACACCTGTAATCCCAGCACTTTGGAAGGCCAAGACAGGTAGATTCCTTGAGTCTAGGAGTTTGAGACCAGCCTAGACAACATGGCGAAAGCCCGTCTCTACAAAAAAAAAATACAAAAGTTAGCCACGTATGGTGGTACACACCCGTGGTCCCAGCTACTAGGCATGCTGAGGTGGGAGGATCAGTTGAGTCTGAGAGGTCAAGGCTGCAGTGAGTTGTGAGTATCCTACTATACTCCAACCCCCAGAGCAAGGCTTTGTCTAAAAAAAAAAAAAAAAAACCACCACAAAAAACCAACCAACCAAAGGAATGGCTAGGCATGGTGGTACATGCCTGTAATCTCAGCACTTTCAGAGGCAGAGCAAGGTAGGAGGATCACTTGAAGCCAGGAGTTCGAGACTAGGCTAGGCAACATAGTGAGACCCTGTCCCTACAAAAAAAAAGAATTAGTCAGGTGTGGTGGCACACACCCATGGTACTAACTGGGAGGCTAAGATGGAGGAGAACATGAAGCAGGAAGATCAAGGCTGCAGTAAGCCTTGAACATGCCACTGCACTCTAGCCCCTGGACTCTCAGTCAAGTTTTATTGGACAGACCCAAATTGATGGAATCATCTAAAGAGATATAGCTTCCTTAAGTGGAAAATTAGGCTTGAGGACTAAAATGCCTTTCCTCCCATCCCCCAAATTGTATTAGGAACAATGTGAAATAGGAAGAAAGGGCCATGAGCAGTGGCTTCACTCCTGTAATCCCAGCATTTTGGGAGGCCAAGGCAGGTGGATCACCTGAGGTCAGGAGTTCTAGACCAGCTTGGCCAACATGGTGAAACCCTGTCTCTACTAAAAATACAAAAATTAGCTGGGCATGGTGGCACATGCCTGTAGTCCCAACTACAGTGCCCGTAGATCTCAGCTACAGGCTAAGGCAGGAGAATCAGCAGGCTGAGGCAGGAAAATCACTTGAACCCAGGAGGTGGAGGCTGCAATGACCTGAGATCGTGCCACTGCACTCCAGCCTGGGTGACAGAGTGAGACTCAAAAAAAAGAAAGAAAAAGACAGCCAGGCAAGGTGGCTTATCCCTGTTAATCCTAGCACTTTGGGAGTCCAAGG